TAATTATTGAGGATGAAATTAATATTGAAAGGGAGATCCTTATTTTTTTTGGCAACCTTTATACTACCCAGGAGTGTTCTAGGCCTACACTAGAGGGCCCTAACTTGTGTCCTATTGATGGTGGGAAGGTGAGCTGATTGGAAAGACTTTTGAGAAGGAGGAATGTGAAAAAGATCAAGGATCAAATACCGTTTCAAAACGTCCGAAACGTTTCCGTTTCCAAGAAAACCGTAACAAATCAATGATTGAATCAAAATTCTAATATTTCGAAGTATTCCATAATGTTTCAAGATGTATTATAATATTTCAATACATTTGCATAATTATTTCAGACTGTTTTAAAATATTTTAAGATATTTTGATATATTTCAATCAATGTTTTAGAAAAATAATTCTTAAAATTTTTATTTTTTTCATTATGTTTCCGAAACGGGTCGAAACGTTTTCGAAACACGCCGAAACGTTTTCGTTTTTTAGGTGGCCGAAACAAAATTTTGATCATTAATTGGCAAAGATTACACTTCAAAACTGAATGGTTTCAATATGACTATCTTTCAACAGTGTTAGGCTATATTTCAAGAAGATTTGATGAGGATGAGTGTGTTTGAGGACTTTTTTGAAAAGTGGGCAAATACAGTTATGAATTTGATTTTCATACGCTTAATCCCAAAAAAATATAATTCTTTGAAGATGAAGGATTCTAGGCCAATCAGTTTGGTGTCAATTTCGTATTAAGATCATTGCTAAAGTGTTGTCTTTGAGGCTCAGAGAATGACCATGTGAAACCATTTCTAGGTATCAGTGAGCTTTGTGTAAGGAGACAAATTCTGGATATGGCCTTTGTTGTTAATGGATGGAGGGGACTGTATTTAAAATTGATTTTGAAAAAAGCAAATGATTATGTGTATTGGAGTTTCTTATGGACGGTTTGGGTTGGGATAGAGAATGTGAATTCAAGGATGTTTGGAGAAATTCAATGGTAAGCCTAGGGAAGTTCAAGGCTTCAAGGAGCCTTAGATAGGGAGATCCTTTATCTCCTTAGTTAAGAAAATATTATCTTGATGCAGAATGGATCGTCCCTCACATTTATACACGTAGGATACTGGACACAACCTAGAAGGGAGAGGGGTGAATAGATTAATTCAATTTTAGTCCGAACAACCACCAATTTCCCTCTAACACACCCCAATTACCACATCTAAGATAGGTTTGTCAATTATGCATTTGAACCCGTTTTGCCAACCAAGAAAGCCCGTCATGTGAGTCAATGTAGAGATATGCAATTAGTCAATTAACACTCAAAGTCACCACGACAATCCCAAACCAAAGCCAATGTTCACAGAACCACAATTGATGAATGAATCAAATAAAACACTTAAAAGTGTCAATTTTTCAAACATTGGGTGTACAATTGCAACCATGTATATAGCTGTGAAATTAAATCAATTAATAAAAACATCCATAACACATGTAATTTGTCGACATGAAAACTCTTCTAAGGAAAAATCGTGGGGACTCACTCAAGGTTCACCAAGAGCCTAACCCACTATACTCGAAGTCAATTTACACGTGCTTAAAACTTATACCTCAACCACTAGATGCTCCTTTTTGTAATAAACCTCTCCTCCAGATATCACCTAACGAAGTCTTGCATAGCGTCAATTAAACGTGCTCATTGCAATGAACTGTCTTGGCCCCTCGAACAATATTCAAGGCTTCACACCCAATACACTCGGAATGCACACATCAAAGTGGGTCTTCCCTAAACAACCAAGATCTTCTTTTCCAATGTATGAAATTGAATAGAAAGGATCAAGATGGTTTAGGCCTTTATATCTTAGAGATCTAGGGTTTTTTAAAGCTCTCAATAAAGGCTTAGGTCTTTTCTAGCTCAAAGATTTACCCTAACTGAAAACTATAGCCCCAATATATAGGTCTTGAAAATAGAGTTTAATTGGAGCCCAACAAAACCCAAATTCATGACCGGCTGTTCGAGCCATGAGAGGCTAGTCAGCAGACAGTGGGTTTCTGGAGTGAAAAATAAGTCAATCTAGACCTCCAGGGGTAGACCACTCAAGTGGCCAGAGAGCAACTGGAGAGCCGTCTCCAAAGGTCCTCAAGTTTAGTATCCCGAAATGTTCAGACACCGCTCTAGCCAAAGGCGAGCAAGCCAAGGGTGGTCCCTAGACTCCCTACTAGTTTTTAAGCTAGAAATAAAAGAAAAACTTATCCTCGTGAACACTAAAGGGTGTTGCTCAAGTAGGGTCCGATAAATAACTCAATTTATCACTTCAAAATACATTTAAGATTTAGAAAATATTTTTCAATAAAAACTTTCGGAGTCATTTCTGAATTTGGAGTCCTATCACCAAATACTTTAGGGAGACCGCTAGAGCCGTGTGTAAGCCACTCGAGCGGTCCCAAAAGCATGTTTGTCCAACTAACAGATCATCTATCAACTTCACCAATGGACCACTAGACTCCTCTAATACTCCTATCAACTCAATGAGCCACCAACACATGCATGGATATATGTATAATCTAAATGTAACTAAATGCACATAGATGGATGAAATACAGATCAAAAATATAATGTAATTTTCAAATTTAACAATAAATGTATAATGTAACCAATTATGAAAATCAAGCATGTTCTCAATAAAGCATATTCATCCTCAGTTCATCATCTAGCACATTACTCTAAGGCATATTAATAAATATAGAACTCAATAAATATTCGTCCTCGATATGTATTTTCACTCCTAGTCTTGTCCACATTAACTTGGATTATGTAAAACTATTTTATTTTATCTATTCACAACGATTCCACCTTTTTCAAACAAACATGTGTCATACTACAGAGCTCGGGGCTTTAATATTCCTCGTGATGGTGGGTCATTTATTCCCTTGTCTCGCCTTAGGGGTAGAACTACAGAGTAGTTTATGTGAGATAGCTTCAAAATTCCATTCTTTGATTTAAAAGAGTCAGCAAGATCTGGGTGACCAGAGCGATCAACTTAAGGGGCAATTTTGCAAGTTCATGAAGGCATATTCTTGTCAGTCATTTTTCAAAGTTGCGCCAACTGATTCAATGGTCTCCTCTACTTCGAACCAAGACTCTTCTTCGAACTTAGGTTCTCTATCTTCCATTCTAGAGGTACATAGATCCACTCGTGTTCATTTCCCTATTTAGAGGTTTGAATCAACTAAGTCTGTCTACTTCCCACTTTTTTGCAATTTCATCCATCTTATGTTTATTTTTTATTTAAAAAAAAAAAAAGCATATCAACGAGTAATATACTAACGAAAATCACTTATAAAATATACTAGTTAACACTCCCCTCAAACTGGAGAGTCTACATATCATATAATTCAAAAACTTGGAACAAATGACTGTTAGATGACTGCAACTTAATCCCCGCATGGTAAAATGAAAATATTCTCTCCTCCGTGAAATCTTATTCCAATTGAACCCTTCAAAACCTTGGTTTATTGGCTAAAATGGATTAGCCTAAAAGAAGATGCAAGCACTTCCATCAGTAACAAACCATTTTCATGAATCACTGAATAAAAAAAGAACATCCTTTACAAATGCCAACGTATACATGAGATACCTTATTATGAGAAGGCCACAAAAATATAGTAAGGTGTTGTTCGATAATACTGAAACTAAATACCGAAAAACTAAATATTGAATGCTTAATTTTTAATACGCAAACTTTTTGGTATCCACTAAAATTTAAGTACTAAATTGAACCAAAATGTTTAATAACTACACAAAGCTGATGTCCGTATATAAATTAATTTTCAGTTTTACCCCTTCACTCTCTACTTTGAAAATATTTATAAAATATGCATTTATCCAATGATATATCACTACAAATAATTCATAACATAAATCATAATCATTATTACCATACTGTAGTCTACATTTACCAAAGAAGTTGATTCAGCCTATCGGCATTATCTCTTTAAATCACTCACAATTTGAACTTTCAATACAACCAACATTAATTTAGACCCACTATTCAGATCGAACACTACAATTGTGAAAACAAATGGTGCATTATTATTCAACTTTTTACCTTTCAAAGATTCTTGGGTTTTGGTAATTTTGGGGATACAAGAAACAAAGATAACCAGTTGTGATGAAATACATTCTATACATATTTGAGATTCTATAGAATACATTCTATAGATATTTGAGATTCTATAGAATACATTCTATAGTATAATTGAGGTTCTATTCTCAGTGTGTGTGCGTGTCTGTGTGTATGCAGTATGTATGTCTGTGTGGGTGTGTGTTTGTTAATCTATGTGTGTTTGCATGTGATTATGTGTGTGTTTGCATGTGGCTGTTTGCGTGTGTGTGTTTGTTTGCGTGCGATCTGTGTGTGTGTTGGTATGTTAATCCATGCGTGTGAGCAGGAGAAGATAGGAGGAAGAAAGGAGAAGAGAACATACATGTTTGACCTCTTTGACAAACGGTGGAGGCTAGGGAGATTGAAGGTTTTGGCTAAAAAAATACTTTAGAGTTTTAATTGGATTGTGAAACATTTTAGAGTAAAATTGTCATATTGAAAACATTATAAAAGATGCTCCACTTGAGTGCTTTTAACTTTTAGAATTAAGTAAGGGATCTCCTATTTAATATTTTAGCTTATTTTCAGGAGCATTTAACATATAAAGAGATCTTAATTTTAGTTATCAAATTAATAAGTGTCGAAAACATTAATTTTAATTGTTGAATTTGGGATAACAAACACACTCTAAGATAAACAACATTTGCTTCCGGTGACTAGGAGTTATAAAAAGGCCAACTTTTATAATTGTACATACATCAAACTTAAACTTGTAAAAAGAACCCAATTCTAAAAAGAACTAGAGTGATTTCTAAACAAATGAATATGATAAAAAATTATCACCACCTTATGACATGAAATTGCTCTATTGGGTTTCATGTCTATACGTATGTGAAAGAAAAAACAATATTGACAATCTCATACCTTTAACGGAAGATTAGTGACAGAATCAAGCCAAGTAATAGCCCCTATGAACAATAAAATTTAATTGTCAACTACCTTGATAAGGTGACAAGTCATGATTTTTGATGGATTACATGGAATAGTGATAGAGGGGCAGGGAAACCTGGAATGGTTGGACGGATCAAGGCGTAGGAATTCAGTTCAATTGATATGCCATGAGCAATTATAAATGTAATTCTTTGAACTGTGCGCTTCCTGAACATGCGCTTTCTCAACTGATCTTTCAAGTCGTCAAACCTAAAGTTGAAAATATATCAACAGGCAGATACCAGAACCATGCAAAAAATGCTTACCACAAATATTATAGCACCATCATTAGCTGTTTGAAGGTTAACTAAAAGTAAAACAAATATGAGACTCAAAATTAATGCAACCTGAAGTGATCAAGCCCTTCAAGACTACATAAGCAAATGACCCAAGTTAAAGAAGGATAACATTCCACCACTAACCCCATCTAGAAAGGTAAGCAGCAAGCCACAAACGAAAGAAACGAACACATCTCAAAATCAACCCTCTATGTCAAATTTCCCATGTGGTCTCCTATGACCGCATGGTTACCATATGTCCTGTTCTAATCTTAATCATCCTGTTGTCATCATCTCTACCTCTTAGTTGGAGTTAATGCTTTGTTGCTAGCGTCTTTTAACTAAATGCTGTCCTTGTTCTCTCTATATTTTATTCCTGCAATTGTGCTTTCCTCCCCTTCATGGCAATGACCTCTCTCAATACATTGAAAAGCATCATGGTAATTCTTACACCACATCTGATCTGCCTCCCCAAAGTAATTGAACGTTAGCCATGCGTGGCTTTTCATGCTACTTCCAGCCTTAATAAATCTTTTTTTTTATTATTAACACCAATCACCAATAGTGCATGTATTCACAAGTAACTAGATGGATAACTATAAACTTTGATCAAAAGAGAACAAATGAAAATAAAGAAGAAGAGAAAATATTGTTAAGGTTCCATAAGTCTTCTAGCAACAACTAATTACACAGATAAATTATACAATTATACTACGGTAAAGATAAATATATAAAAGGACTAGACTACCCCAAAATACTATAATACTCTAACACCCCAGCCCCCCTTTTCAAACTCATAATGTGATAGCTAAAAAACATCAAGATTTTACCAAGAAGAAAACGAAAGCACGTTATTGTGTGACTTTATAAAGAAGTCCACCAACTACATAATAGAAAGAAGAAAGGGAAGAGAGATAATGCTCAACTGAAGATGATGGCACATAAATGACAATCAATCACAATATATTTTGTATGCTCATGGAACACCAAATTGTAGGCAATCTAATTAGCACTAGTATTGTCACAACACACAAGAGTAGGTGCACAAAGAAATGCCAACGTCAATTGGCAACCAACGTAACCAGACTGTCTCAACAGTAAAAGTCATTGCACAATATTCAGCCTTAACAGAGCAATGGACAACAATGAACTATAATTTGTTTCTTACTTTTCCAGAAAATAAGAGAATCACCCAAAAAAAAAAAGACAAAAACAAGTGATTAAATGGTGATCTGTTAGAGAAATACATTGTAATAAGTATATTGATTCAAGCACACACACACACACACACACACATATATATATAGAGAGAGGGGCCTAATAGACTCATCTTCTCAATTCTCCTCTTTCTCTCCAACCCTCTCTTCTTCTTAATCTCCTAACACTAATTCCTTACCTTACATGGTATCAGAGTGATGTTACTCCTTGTAATTGGCACAATTTTCCTATTTATTTTCTCTTTCTTTCTTCTCCTCTATTTTCCTTTTTTTTTGTGATGTCGGACCTTAAAGGTACTATTTTTGTGACAATCATTGGATCCCTATTGAGGGATCATTGTTGGTTATGGTTCAATTCCCTGGTTGTGGTTGTTGTTAGTTGCGTTGAAGCCAATCGCAGTTGCCATAGATATTGGGTGTCATGGCGTGTTGATTCATTGTGATTGTATTGGGTTTGTGTTTATTTGTTGTGACTGAGTGGTTGGTAGGTGGATTTTGTTGTGCTTCAGCAATTGGGAGAGGCTGAGTGTCATGAAGCCTCACACCAATGGCAAATTGCATATCATAGACGTCTCTATGAAGGAGACAACCCCTATTTGGCTATTGGGATTGTCAAGGTTATTCTAGTTTAGCGTACCCAACACNAAATATTGTTAAGGTTCCATAAGTCTTCTAGCAACAACTAATTACACAGATAAATTATACAATTATACTACGGTAAAGATAAATATATAAAAGGACTAGACTACCCCAAAATACTATAATACTCTAACACCCCAGCCCCCCTTTTCAAACTCATAATGTGATAGCTAAAAAACATCAAGATTTTACCAAGAAGAAAACGAAAGCACGTTATTGTGTGACTTTATAAAGAAGTCCACCAACTACATAATAGAAAGAAGAAAGGGAAGAGAGATAATGCTCAACTGAAGATGATGGCACATAAATGACAATCAATCACAATATATTTTGTATGCTCATGGAACACCAAATTGTAGGCAATCTAATTAGCACTAGTATTGTCACAACACACAAGAGTAGGTGCACAAAGAAATGCCAACGTCAATTGGCAACCAACGTAACCAGACTGTCTCAACAGTAAAAGTCATTGCACAATATTCAGCCTTAACAGAGCAATGGACAACAATGAACTATAATTTGTTTCTTACTTTTCCAGAAAATAAGAGAATCACCCAAAAAAAAAAAGACAAAAACAAGTGATTAAATGGTGATCTGTTAGAGAAATACATTGTAATAAGTATATTGATTCAAGCACACACACACACACACACACACATATATATATAGAGAGAGGGGCCTAATAGACTCATCTTCTCAATTCTCCTCTTTCTCTCCAACCCTCTCTTCTTCTTAATCTCCTAACACTAATTCCTTACCTTACATGGTATCAGAGTGATGTTACTCCTTGTAATTGGCACAATTTTCCTATTTATTTTCTCTTTCTTTCTTCTCCTCTATTTTCCTTTTTTTTTGTGATGTCGGACCTTAAAGGTACTATTTTTGTGACAATCATTGGATCCCTATTGAGGGATCATTGTTGGTTATGGTTCAATTCCCTGGTTGTGGTTGTTGTTAGTTGCGTTGAAGCCAATCGCAGTTGCCATAGATATTGGGTGTCATGGCGTGTTGATTCATTGTGATTGTATTGGGTTTGTGTTTATTTGTTGTGACTGAGTGGTTGGTAGGTGGATTTTGTTGTGCTTCAGCAATTGGGAGAGGCTGAGTGTCATGAAGCCTCACACCAATGGCAAATTGCATATCATAGACGTCTCTATGAAGGAGACAACCCCTATTTGGCTATTGGGATTGTCAAGGTTATTCTAGTTTAGCGTACCCAACACTGGAATAGCGAATCCCTAATTTGGATTTGCTTCGGGTCAGTTCAGGTGGATATCGGATCCTTTTTGGTTTATTGGGCTTGCCTAATCCGGTAGCTACAGGCCCACGGTCCATTTAGCTTCAAGTCCAATCCTGGTTGGCCAGGCCGATTCAAGCCCAATTTTGTTTGGTCAAGCCGGTTCAAGTTGTCCAATGATTTGTTTCGATCCGTTTACTCCAACTCTGGTTCAAATCCATCCGGTTCAATCTCATCTGCTTTGATTCAGACCAGTTCAAGCCCATTCTGATTTGGTTCAATCCGGTTTAGATATCCTTTCTTTCGGTACAATGCTCATCTGTCATACTTCACCCTGGTTCAAGCCTCCACTGCCCTCAACCAGGACTTACAGTTTTTCTACTTTGATTTCATCCGGCTCTAGTACTTCTCCATCCGGTTCAAGTACTTTTTCATTCAGTTCAGCCTTCCTCCACCATACTTCACCTCGGTTCAGGCCATAGCTGCCCTCAGCACCTTCGTTCAGCCCTTGGCAGTTGTTTTTCTTCTCATTTTCCACCTTATGCTTAGCTCGGCAGCCTCATTTTGTGTTGCTGCCACAGAATCTAAAACTAAGGCCACTTCCGCTACCTCCAAACCATAACGTTTTTCTTCTGCTGCTACTTTTATTGCTGCTCCCATGACGTTTGTCAAATTAAATAGGAACAATTATATTCAGTGAGCTAAATTTGTGGCGGTTTTTCTCGAAGGTAATGGCCTTCGTAGCCATTTGGTAGATGCTAAACCTAAGGATACCGACTCTAATTTTTACATTTGAGAACAATAAGATGTGTAGATCATGTCCCTATCATTGAATAGCATTTAGCCTAATATTAGTTCCACTTTGCTATATTTAAATATTGCCAAAGAGATATGGGACCGATTGTCACATATGTATTCGGGGACTAGTAATATTATCCACATTTATGAGTGGTGTGGGCAATGCTTTGGCCTTGAGCAAGGGACGTTAAGCCATGAAGAGTACTTCTCAAAGGTTATGGGTGTTTGTGAAGAATTGAAGATGTCTCAACCCATTTCCTCTAACATTCCACATATGGAGGAGCAACATGAGGATTTTAATATTGTTCGCTTTCTCCTTGGCTTGAAATCTAACTATAAGCATGTGGTTGGACAATGCCAAAGAATATTCTTCCAACCCCTTTGAGACTTATTTTTATATTAAGGGCATTCTGCCTCAACTTCTTGCGTTCATACACCACAATAAAATGGCGTGGCTAAGGACAAGAATCATCATTTATTGAATGACACCCAAGCCCTTTTATTCCATATGCATATTCCTCCAACGTTTTGGGGTGATATTGTTTTGATTGCCTATCACCTTATTAATCGTCTGTCATCCACATTCTTGCATAAACAATCTGNATCCTTTCTTTCGGTACAATGCTCATCTGTCATACTTCACCCTGGTTCAAGCCTCCACTGCCCTCAACCAGGACTTACAGTTTTTCTACTTTGATTTCATCCGGCTCTAGTACTTCTCCATCCGGTTCAAGTACTTTTTCATTCAGTTCAGCCTTCCTCCACCATACTTCACCTCGGTTCAGGCCATAGCTGCCCTCAGCACCTTCGTTCAGCCCTTGGCAGTTGTTTTTCTTCTCATTTTCCACCTTATGCTTAGCTCGGCAGCCTCATTTTGTGTTGCTGCCACAGAATCTAAAACTAAGGCCACTTCCGCTACCTCCAAACCATAACGTTTTTCTTCTGCTGCTACTTTTATTGCTGCTCCCATGACGTTTGTCAAATTAAATAGGAACAATTATATTCAGTGAGCTAAATTTGTGGCGGTTTTTCTCGAAGGTAATGGCCTTCGTAGCCATTTGGTAGATGCTAAACCTAAGGATACCGACTCTAATTTTTACATTTGAGAACAATAAGATGTGTAGATCATGTCCCTATCATTGAATAGCATTTAGCCTAATATTAGTTCCACTTTGCTATATTTAAATATTGCCAAAGAGATATGGGACCGATTGTCACATATGTATTCGGGGACTAGTAATATTATCCACATTTATGAGTGGTGTGGGCAATGCTTTGGCCTTGAGCAAGGGACGTTAAGCCATGAAGAGTACTTCTCAAAGGTTATGGGTGTTTGTGAAGAATTGAAGATGTCTCAACCCATTTCCTCTAACATTCCACATATGGAGGAGCAACATGAGGATTTTAATATTGTTCGCTTTCTCCTTGGCTTGAAATCTAACTATAAGCATGTGGTTGGACAATGCCAAAGAATATTCTTCCAACCCCTTTGAGACTTATTTTTATATTAAGGGCATTCTGCCTCAACTTCTTGCGTTCATACACCACAATAAAATGGCGTGGCTAAGGACAAGAATCATCATTTATTGAATGACACCCAAGCC